ATTAATTTATTTTTTTCTTTATTTCGGATTTTATTATTATTATTATTATTATTATTATATTATGTTATATATATATTAATATTATTTATCATCATCATCATCAATTGTCATTATTATTATTGATCACCGATGATTATTACGATTATTATTAAATTACTTATTATTAATTACTATCGCTACGGCTATATAATACCTTTGTAAATGAGAATCAAGACACTGATGGCGTTATAGGGAAAAGAAACTTAATAAATTGAAATTCTATTAACCCACAAGAGCGTTCGATCGTCATTTGTGTCGTCATTGACTTACCTTACTCCTAAACAGTAACAATTATATTTTTTTATTATATAATAATATCAATTTTATACGCAGGGTGTTCGGCAACAGGTAGAACAAAATTTAAGGAGTGATTCTACATGATAAAATAAGACGAAAATCAAGAATAACAAAATCGCGATGGAGGCTTCGTTTTTTAGTTATAATTGTTTGAAAATTCACATAAAAGGTGCCTGAAGCATGGCAATTCGCTAATCTCTGGTGTGCATAGGCTGCGTCAGTAGAGTCTGATTCTGTTCTATCTTTTATTTTCAACGTGCTCTTCCGTCTTTCCTTCGCTATTGCAGGGATCACAGAATAATATTATAATAAATGTTCAAAATACCTCCATTCTGTTATAGACAGAATTCGATTCTTTTGTACAAGTTCTGTCTTATGTTTCGGAAATCAGCCAGAAATACGCACGCCAGAGATCGGCGAATTGCCGTTCTTCAAGCATCTTTCATGCAAATTTTCAAACATTTCCTATCTAAAAAAAGGCATGTAAAGCTTTTCCGCGATGCTGATTGGTTCTGTCATTGCGCTTACTTCGTGAGCTGCTGTCATTGCATATTTTGACAGTTATTATTTCGTGCATATATCGTTAAAAATGTTTAATGAAAAAGAACAAATAGCGCGCGCGAAGCGCGCGTTGTGTTGTGCTAGTATTATGATTAAAAAACGAAGCCTCCACCGCAATTTTGTTATTCTTGATTTTCGTCTTATTTTATCATATAGAATTATTCCTTAAATTTTCTCCCACTAATTCCCAATAATTCTTGATTGTTTTCATAGTCGTTGAAACTGCAGATTATTCTTGCGACAATATTTACGAACAAGATTTGTATTTTTGAAATCCATTATCAAATATAAAAATATATAACAAGCATCTATAAGTCATCTTTTGTCATCTCATTGTCAGCTAAATTTTATATCATTTCAACAATTCTCAACAAATTCTCAATATGTTTCTTCATATGTTTTTATTTTGCATGATATATCAAAACAAATTTATATTATCTATAGAAAGCATCGTTATTATGGTATACGCAAATAAAATTGGTTTGGTTTACGTCGAAAAACCAATTAATTACTGACATTCAAAAGACATTTGTAATGTCATGTAGGTAGGTAAATTTAAATTTAAATACCGCAGAAAAACATTACTTATAAATACAAAATTGATCTTTAGACGTCTGTTATTATAACGATGTTATCATGACGATGTTATCATAACTTGAATACTCAACCTCCTTTATATTTATGCTAATTTGACAATCGTTTAGATAATGTAACGAACCACTAGTCTTTAAAAACAGGCTCTAAAAGTTTAACCGAGCCAGAAAGTCTCGCATTGCGCACGAAATAAGATATACTAATAAAGCTAGAATCAGAAGAACTTTAGAGAGAAAATAACCACTGTCAAACGTGTTTAAAAATACTGTCAGCTTGCCATGTCAAAGACCAAAGATCTTAGCAAATTTTCGGTTGAAAAATTGCAGGAGTTTTTAACGTCTTTCGACACAGTTCTATCCGACATCGACGGTGAGTTACAATCAACGAAAAAATTTACTTTCTATTATATATATATTTCTAAAACTATAAGTTGTTTCACTTAATTTGAACATTTGAAATGTCTGCTATTTTTGATAATATTGAAAAATATATAAGAAAAAAATTATTTGATTCGATGAACATTGTGATGAACAAGAGATTTTAATTAAAAATATTTGAAAGTTATTTACGCTGCGTGCATTACATTCTTTCTTATTTCCGTATTATTTTGTGTGTGTCATTTTTGAATTATTAAATAAATTAAATTCTTTTTAAGAGTCTTTGCAAAATAATTAGTATCGTAGGATTTAAGAATCAAGCTCCTGGGACGATCACGATAACTTTAGCTTCTCGAAATGTAAGTGGTTTCCGGAAGCACTTTTGACGAAAAACATGGGGAAAATAGTTATAATATTCCATCGTTGTTTATTAAAAAGTTATTAATAAAAGAATTTCCACGAATTATAAGTAATTTTCAGATACCATTATTTATTTATGTGTAGTAAATCGAACGCGGGTGCGAGGGAGGTGCTCTGCTCCTCTCTCTGTACCTCCGCTCTGAAATAAATGTGCTAAGGTGCATTCTATTAAATGTACATGGATAATAGAAAAAATTCATGATGTGTTCTATTTACATAGTTGTTTGTTATGATTTCTGTTCCAATGAAATATTTTTTGTTAATTTTTTCTCTTGTTAAAATTCAAATTTTACGTTTTATAAAATATTCATATTATTGCTACATCTTGCTATTGACCCTAGAACTTTTTAATTATTTTTTCCGTGTTCTTCGTCAAAAATGCCTCCAAAAATCACTTACATTTCGTGGGGCCAAAGTTATCGTGATCGTGCCAAGCTCCTATTATATCTTGGCCAATCCGTTTTTTAATTAAGAAATAAAATATGCAAAAAATCTCTTAATTGTTAAATTTTAATATATTCCGTATTAAATAGAATATTTTCTATTCTCTGATTGTAATGCAAAAGCTTGTAAGTCAAATTGATCATTTCACACGACTTCACTACTTTTTGAAGATTCTTGAAAAAGCTGATAATATCTCTATAATCTATAATGTGCGTTTGTCATGATAATTTTATAGAAAGAAGACATGTTGTGGAACGATTTGATGTGCATGCATGGACTATCAACCCAGAAATAATAAATAATGCATAAAGAAAATATTTACTTATTTGTCATATAGGAGTTGTGTGGCAACTTAGTCATCCTATCGAGGGCGCTTTTGAATCTTTAGCGATATTGCAAAAATTGGGAAAGAAGATATATTTGGTAACGAATAATACTGAGAATGCGGATCAAACTTATTGTGATAGAGCTCGATGTGCTTGTTTGTATTTGACTCCAGTGAGTATGCAAAATGTGTTTTTTTGTGTGTTTTATCCGATCGGTTTATCCGATGATCATTTTATTCGTGTATACGGAATTTATACTAATTAATGATCTTTCTCTTATTACCAATCTCTCTATTAAAAAAACAGCCTGTGATTTGCATGACTCTTAAAATTGGAGACATAAATATCAAAACTAAATTCTTATAATTTATATTCTTATACCCAATTAGTTTTTACATTCATAGTTAATCTATGTAGTACAATTCAATAATGTACCAATATATAATAATAGTAATTACAAAGATTATAACGCATATATATATTAAAATGCACTGCATATTATCTCAGTTTTATTATTAATAACACATAAATATTCAGTCCATTATTCTCAGTAATAGTCGCTGATAATTATATATATACACACATATATTAAGACTGTTATACCATGTGAAAGAGTAATATTATTAATATATAAATGTGTGCGACATGATATAATGTGAAAAATATCATAATCAGTATTTTTATAAATGCCAAAAAAATAGCAGAGACGCTAATGTTACAGGACCATGTAATTAATATCGTCAAAGTGATTATCTGGTATTTGAATAAGATCGATTTTCACGACAAGGTTTTCGCCATCGTTTCGGATGAATCGCAGAACGCTTTGAAAAAAGCAGGAATACAAATAGAAGAAGAAGTGAGTAAATATATGAAATAGTTCTTTTTCCGATATAAATAATAAGTTTCATACAAATAATATTCCGCCAACATAAAAGTTAATTGAAAAGGTAACTTTTTACCAATCCGAAAATTCTGATTTGAATAAAACTCTACACAAAATTTACGACAACAAATTCAATTCAATTTTCATTACACAGCCAAAAGTTTACGATAAAAAAGTAGCTGCGACTATAAAGAGCGTCTTGGACCGACCATCCGTTAAAGCTGTAATTTATGATTTCGATAGTAAGTGCAATTGGTCAAAATTAGCTTTGGCCATATCATGCCTTCAACGTAAGGATGTGTTGTACATAGCAGGGGCAGTGGAAAATTGGATACACGTAGAATCAGTACCTTCTAAAATAAGGATCTTAGGTAAATATATTAATATCGTTATTATAAAGAATGTAAATATACTCCTTTATAAAAATATTTACATTACTTATTAATTGCAAGTTTGTAATCATCATAATACGCATATTCCTTTACATAAAAAAGCAATTGCTTCTCATATATTTATAAAGAGAAAAATAATTAATATTATACATAAAAAAATAATATTATACATAAGAATTTTTGTTATGTACAACAAAATATAAGAACTACATATACATTTGACATATATATATATATATATATATATATATGTATATATATTCCTTTTTTTTTCCTCTAATCAGGTCCTGGATCATTCGTGCATCTTATTAGCGCACAAAGCGGAAGAAAACCGATTCTATGTGGCAAACCTAGCCAAACTTTAAAAGATTATATTTTAGATATATGCAACGTGACCGATCCACAAAGATGTTTGTTCATCGGTGACACGTGAGCAAACACAATAATAAAATTCATTATACTTTCTTGTTTTTTTTGACACATTTACGTTATTCATATTAAATTTTTAAAATATATACAATAGTTATATAATATGTGTTACACATCTATATCATTATTTGAACATTCATCTCGTGAAAGAAAACGCTGTATTAATTCGTATATATGAACTTAGGGTTGATCAAGACATGAGGTTTGCCTCTATGTGTGGATTTAAGAAACTTCTCGTCGGTACGGGAAGTGATTCTCTGGAAAAAGCGCAAAAAAACATTGATACTTATCCTGATTACTATATTCCTGCTTTGAGCCAGCTATTTTCCACACACAAGAATTTACAACTTTTACGTACTATCAATCACGAAAACAACTAATCGCATATCCTTGGATAGAAAAATAATTAATAATAAATCAATCTCTTATTAAGGCAAAATCAGTAATCAAATCGGTAGCAGTCCATTTACAAAAAATTATTGTAAAGAATAGATAATTATATCTTAAGTGTTGAATTGCATTTTTGAAAGACATTATTATGCATCCTGTAGCAATTATACGATAAATTATGTATATTATTCAGATATTTTATACGCTTTTTAATCGCTATACTGAATAAATTTTGTAAATAAATCTATTCTCCATTTTTTGTCAAATCTTACATCGATGATTTCATATCTCATATTGATAATTTAATTATGCCACTTAACAAAAAAAAAAAAAATCATATGAAACTAGTATTATAATATTGCATTATTTAATGACATTTATAAAAATATAGGTTTTAACATCAGTATTATGACACACCAAACAAGACACTAAAATAAATAAGTTTTTTTAAAACTTTCTTCCATGTATTAGAAATTTTCTAGACAGATGATAAAATTACAAGGCATTGCTTCCAATCGATGTAACAGTAGTGAATAAGTCCACAGTGAAATTAAACGTCAAAGTGGCCAATTTAACTATCAATATAAATGAAAAGACCCTGTGACCCTGAAGACTGTTAATCTATTTATTATCTATCATTATTGCTTTAATAATTGCCTTGCAATGCACGTAATTTTCAATTACTTGCTTCAAAGTATTTATATTTATAAAATTAAAATATTCCAAGTTTTTTAACGACAAACGAGAGAATCTTTATGATTTTTCTTTTTCTTATTAAACATTCTACATCCATTATACATAAGTATTATAAAAAGAAAAAAAAAACATTTTTATAACAATGATAATTTTTATAATAATAATAATATTAATA